GCGCTCCTTCTCTCTTCTCTCGTCTCTCTCCTCCTCTCTTCTCCTCTCTCTCCTCTCTCTCTTCTCTCTCTCTCTCTCTTCTCTCTCTCTCTCTTCTCCTTCTCTCTCTCTCTCTCTCTCTTTCGTCTCATCTCTCGTCTCTCTCCCTCAGTCGAATCAAACTTCGAGATTGCGAGAAGGGCTCTTTGGCATGGAAACGAGATCATTTCTTCTGATCTCTCTTCTGTCTTACATCACGCATCAGTACAAGTGAAAAGACGTTGGCAGAGGAGGGCAGAGGGCCTTTCACGTTGATGTGAGTCTGGGGGGCATTTCTCTGAAGTACACTCACTGGCATTACGCTCTGCCAGTAACGTTTCAAATGGAAATTCACTCATACGTTATCTGAAATGTAGTTTATTCAGTTGTGAATGTTTACTTACAGGTTTTTTTTCTGTGCGTGCGCGCATTCACGTGTGTGTGTCTGTGTGTGTCTGTGTGTGTCTGTGTGTGTCTGTGTCTGTGTGTGTGTGTGTGTGTGTGTGTGTGTGTGTGTGTGTGTGTGTGTGTGTGTGTGTGTGTCTGTGTGTGTGTGTGTGTGGTGTGTGTGTGTGTGTTGTACCAACAGCCCCATTCCAGGCCAGCGGTGCAGGAACAGATCCCCAGCCAGAGCCCCACACAGGGGGGAAGGTTTCAGGAGAGACTGGCCCCATCCAGAGCACCCTGGAGCAGCCTGACCCAGCAGATACACAGGCTCCCCATAATGAACCAGGCAAGAGAATAACATCCGACCCACTCCTTCTAACTTCACATCCTCTCTGCCCCTTCCGTTCTGTCTGTCGTTCTGTCTGTCGTTCTGTCTGTCGTTCTGTCTGTCGTTCTGTCTGTCGTTCTGTCTGTCGTACTGTCTGTCGTTCGCACTGTCTGTCCGTTCTGTCGGCGTTCTGTCTGCCGTTCTGTCTGTCCGCCGTTCTGTCTGTCGGCCGTTCTGTCTGTCGGCCGTTCTGTCTGTCGGCCGTTCTGTCTGTCGGTCGTTCTGTCTGTCGTTCTATAGTGTCTTCATCATTGAGCTCTGACTGTCTACAGTCTACTGACTGTATATTATACCAGGGACCTGCCTGTCCTACTGACTGTAATATTATACGGGCCGGCCCTCTACTGACTGATTTAATACAGGGACCGGCCCGTTCTAACTGATGTATATTTAACAAGGACCGGCCCGTCTACTGACGTATATTATACAGGGACCGGACCCGTCTACTGACTGTATATTATACCAGGGACCGGCCCGTCTACTGAACTGTATATTAGACAGGGACCGGCCCCGTCTACTGACTGGTATATTATACAGGGACCGGCCTGTCTACTGACTGTATATTATACAGGGACCGGCCCGTCTACTGACTGTATATTATACAGGGACCGGCCCGTCTACTGACTGTATATTATACAGGGACCGGCCTGCCTACTGACTGTATATTATACAGGGACCGGCCCGTCTACTGACTGTATATTATACAGGGACCGGCCTGTCTACTGACTGTAAATATTAGACAGGGACGCGGCCGTCTACTGACTGTATTTATCAGGGACCGGCCCGTCTACTGACTGTATATTATACAGGGCCGGCCTGTCTACTGACTGTATATTATACAGGGACCGGCCTGTCTACTGACTGTATATTATACAGGGACCGGCCCGTCTACTGACTGTATATTATACAGGGACCGGCCCGTCTACTGACTGTATATTATACAGGGACCGGCCCGTCTACTGACTGTATATTATACAGGGACCGGCCTGTCTACTGACTGTATATTATACAGGGACCGGCCCTGTCTACTGACTGTATATTATACAGGGACCGGCCTGTCTACTGACTGTAGGGACCGGCCTGTCTACTGACTGTATATTATACAGGGACCGGCCCGTCTACTGACTGTATATTATACAGGGACCGGCCTGTCTACTGACTGTATATTATACAGGGACCGGCCTGTCTACTGACTGTATATTATACAGGGACCGGCCCGTCTACTGACTGTATATTATACAGGGACCAGGCCTGTCTACTGACTGTATATTATACAGGGACCGGCCTGTCTACTGACTGTATATTATACAGGGACCGGCCTGTCTACTGACTGTATATTATACAGGGACCGGCCCGTCTACTGACTGTATATTATACAGGGACCGGCCTGTCTACTGACTGTATGTGAACTATACACAGACCAGCTTGAAAGTGACTGTATTTGAACTATACAGGGACCAGCTTGAAAGTGACTGTATTTGAATTTAGTATTCCTTAGGTTATCTGTAGGGCCACAAGAGAACTCCTTTTGGGTGGGTCACAACTGAGAACCAGAGGTTTGTGAACCCCTGCCATAGGTGGCACCTGTAGATGAACTGAATTCAATAGAGACCAAGGTAGTTAGTGGGATTATTGTGACATCTAGTGGAACTCGGTGAGGACAGACAATCAGAGCTCACAGACACACAAGTCCAAGACACACAATCACTTTCTTTACACTTTCAGAGACTTCTTTAAGTTATTTGATCCTTCAGACTCCAGAGGGCAGCAACACTCTGTTTGGTCCTTCAGACTCCAGAGGGCAGCAACACTCTGTTTGGTCCTTCAGACTCCAGAGGGCAGCAACACTCTGTTTGGTCCTCCAGACTCCAGAGGGCAGCAACACTCTGTTTGATCCTTCAGACTCCAGAGGGCAGCAACACTCTGTTTGGTCCTTCAGACTCCAGAGGGCAGCAACACTCTGTTTGGTCCTCCAGACTCCAGAGGGCAGCAACACTCTGTTTGAGTCCTTCAGACTCCAAGGGCAGCAACACTCTGTTTGATCCTTCAGACTCCAGAGGGCAGCAACACTCTGTTTGATCCTTCAGACTCCAGAGGGCAGCAACACTCTGTTTGGTCCTTCAGACTCCAGAGGGCAGCAACACTCTGTTTGGTCCTTCAGACTCCAGAGGGCAGCAACACTCTGTTTGGTCCTCCAGACTCCAGAGGGCAGCAACACTCTGTTTGGTCCTTCAGACTCCAGAGGGCAGCAACACTCTGTTTGGTCCTTCAGACTCCAGAGGGCAGCAACACTCTGTTTGGTCCTTCAGACTCCAGAGGGCAGCAACACTCTGTTTGGTCCTCCAGACTCCAGAGGGCAGCAACACTCTGTTTGATCCTCCAGACTCCAGAGGGCAGCAACACTCTGTTTGATCCTTCAGACTCCAAGCAAGTTGCAAGCAACACTCTGTTTGGTCCTTCAGACTCCAAGGGCAGCAACCACTCTGTTTGTCCTCAGACTCCAAGGGCAGCAACACTCTGTTTGATCCTTCCAGACTCCAGAGGGCAGCAACACTCTGTTTGATCCTTCAGACTCCAGAGGGCAGCAACACTCTGTTTGGTCCTTCAGACTCCAGAGGGCAGCAACACTCTGTTTTGATCCTCAGACTCCAGAGGGCAGCACACTCTGTTTGATCCTACTCAGGACTGTGCTGCCAGAGGGCAGCAACCTCTGTTTGGTCCTTCCAGACTCCAGAGGGCAGCAACACCTGTTTGGATCCTAGACTCCAGAGGCCAACACTCTGTTTGTCCTTAGACTCAGAGGGCACAACACTCTGTTTGGTCCTCAGACTCCAGAGGGCAGCAACACTCTGTTTGGTCCTTCAGACTCCAGAGGGCAGCCAACACTCTGTTTGAGTCCTCCAGACTCCAGAGGCAGCAACACTGTTTATCCTCGGACTCCAGAGGGCAGCAACACTCTGTTTGGTCCTCCAGACTCCAGAGGGCAGCAACACTCTGTTTGGTCCTTCAGACTCCAGAGGGCAGCAACACTCTGTTTGGTCCTCCAGACTCCAGAGGGCAGCAACACTCTGTCATGGAATGCTCACATCCAGTAGCAAATTTCAACCAAATATTTTCATTGTGTCTGGCTTTGAAGATAACATGGCAGATTCCATCTCTTCCCCCCCAGTGGCCAGGAGACTAATGACCCAGTCCTAAACAGTCTTGGCCTGCATCCCAAATGGCACCCTATTCCACTACCGTTTGACCAGAGGACCAGGGTCCAAAAGGCTCTGGTCATAGTAGTGCTCTCTAAAGGGTATAGGGTACCATTTGGGACTCCAACCTGACCATGGCCCTTATGGCCTCCAACGTCCCACCAGGAACCAGCCCAGTCAGGAGGGGTTAGACATGTTTATACTAACAGATGAGGATCTGGTTTCCCTTTCCTGTTCTGATTCTGACTGACAGGGACTGTGCTGCGACGCAGAGGGCAGGGTCAATTGGTGAGGAGTGTTGGTCTCCGTTCCAAATGCCACCCTGTTCCCTAGATAGTGCACTGTTTTTGACTAGAGCTATGGGCCCTGTTCAAATATAGTGCATTATATAGAGCCCTCAAACTCAACTCTGGACCTGGAAACCAGTTCCACTGCCATTTTTCCATTCTTCCCCTCTAATCAGGGACTGATTTTAGACCTGGGGGCACCAATTCCATTTTTGGGTAGAACAGAAAACCGGCAGGCCCCAGACCACGTAGGGTCAGAGTTGAATACCCCTGATATATAAAGAACATTTGGGACTTCGATTTGCTGTAGATGGATTGGGTCTGTGGTGATGAGTGTTGCGGTAAAAGGGGACAGGGTCGCTGGTAGCCAGTTGGTGAGTTGGTGTTGCTATATTGCTGTCTCGCTCAGAAAGCTGGTAGTATGATACTCTTAGGATCTACTGGGGAACTGCGCTCGCATGTTGGCCGGTTCAGATGGAAGATTTCTTATTTTTCATTTACATGTTGTATGGAAATCTGTTAAGGAGTGCAGGAAAAGAGAATAATGTTTCTATTGCATTTTGAAATGCCAGGTTGTGTAGAACTGCAGCTTTCAATGACCTGTGAAAGATGCGGGTACAACAACGTAGCATGGAGTTGCTGTCATTTTTTTTTTGTAATGTCATTTTTTTGTACAAAGATATATATATATAATGCTATGTGTGTGAATATTCTGATCGTAACATGCAGTTGTTCTTCCCCTCCTGTCCTGTAGGTGTCAGTGTCCAACAGCAGGGCAGTGTGGTGGAGCAGCATAACACCCTCTCCGACGAGAGGAAGTTCATGCTGAACATGCTGTACGCCAAGAACTCCTCAGCCGGTCCCCTGAAGAGCCCGTCAGGCATCGACCCTGACCCCAACCTCGACCCCGAGGACAGCCTCTCCGGAGAGGCAGAGGACCGCAGAGGGCTGGGCAGGGCTGGTAGCATTCTGAAGGAACGTCTATCCAGCCTCAAGGTAGGAATGAATTAGTGTAGTTAAAAAATAATAAATAATAAACGTTCTGACTTTATTGAACAGATAGAGAGAGGATGACAGTGGGGAAAGATATCGAGAGGTTGTGTCAACGTTGCCTGGCTACCTAAACTCCTTGCTTGGACAAATGCTAGGCCACGCCCACAGACGTTAGATTCTTCTCCGCAATGAGACTGGATCTGAGTTCCAATTTCTAGAACGTGAACACATTCTAACTGTTCTGATTGGTCCCAGAAACCAATGGGTTTGGGCCAGAGCCAGAACACACGTGGGTAAAGCAGCGTTTAAAACATTTTTTTGTCATTGGCTTTGATCCTTTGATTGGTTAGAGATCGCTGATCCAATCGCTGATGACTATTGTTTTGTACAACACCCCTCATTTTGACGTCACCCCAAACGACTTCAACGACGGCCGTCTCAGACTGAAGTAGGTAGCGAACACACAGCAGCGGAACAATTCAGTTTGAATCGTGTAGCTCAGTTGGTAGAGCATGGCGCTTGCAACGCCAGGGTTGTGGGTTCGATTCCCACGGGGGGCCAGTATGAAAAAGTATGAAAATGTATGCACTCACTTAACTGTAAGTCGCTCTGGATAAGAGCGTCTGCTAAATGACTAAAAATGTAAAATGAGTCATCAGGCAAGTGTCAAGGGGCAGTAGGCCAGATTCAAACCTAGATAGTTTGTGTGTATGTATTGATATGTAGGCTACGTGTGCCTTTTTTAAACATTTTTATGTAGTTCTGTCCTTGAGCTTTTCTTGTCTATTAATGTTCTGTATTATGTCATGTTTCATGTTTTGTGTGGACCCCAGGAAGAGTAGCTGCTGCTTTTGCAACATCTAATGGTGATCCTAATAAAATGCCAAAAATACCAAAATACCGACTAGACATGAGGCCTGAAACTGTGCCTTAGACAGCTAGACCTTTTTTTAGAAGTCTTTCAGAATCCATTAGTTGATGGGTGCTAGGGCCGATTAATCGAAGTGATCTATAGCAGAGTTAAAGAGCTGAACACATGCTAAGGGATGTCCTTGTCCCATCGCACTCTAGCGACTCCTTGTGGCGGGCCGGGTGCGTGCACGCTGACTTCGGTCGCCAGCTGGACGGTGTTTCCTCCGACACGTTGGTGCGGCTGGCTTCCGGGTTAAGCGAGCAGTGTGTCAAGAAGCAGTGCGGCTTGGCAGGGTTGTGTTTCGGAGGACACATGGCTCTCTGCCTTCACCTCTCCCGAGTCCGTAGGGGAGTTGCAGCGACGGGACAAGACTGTAACTACCAATTTAGATATCACGAAATTGGGGAGAAAAAGGGGTCAAAAGTTATTAATTTTTTTAAAGAGCTGAACACATGCTAACTGATCTACAGCAGGGGGGAAAGCTGAATTAAAAAAACAGCATTGTGTTTATTTTAATTTAAACACGTCTGTCACGCTTTGGAAAACATCACTCAAATTTTTCAGTCTTCGATTCCCACATTTTCAAATCGATACGGATAGCCTTGATCGACTGATTGATTCCTGGATGAATCTAACTGATCCTTTCCTCCAGGCCCACCAGGCCCAGCCTCTACCCAGCGAGGACAGCAGCTCCAGGAGGGCAGAGCTGGAGGGTCTGGGTGGCAGTGCCCAGGCGGCGCGGGCCAGGCTGGCAGAGGAGCAGCACCGGCGTGTCCGGCCGCAGTACAGCATCGACGCGGAGACCCACGCCCGCAGCCTGGAGAACACCCAGATGACCCCTCTGGCCAGGGACCGACAGACCGATGCCTGGGACCAGCTCCAACCCAGCTCCAGAGCCCTGAAGATTAAAGACCTGGACTTCTCTGACCTGATGGAGGAGGAGGATATAGACGTTCTGGACGTGGACGTCTACGACGTGGGGGTTGGTCGGCCTGGTGGTGGAATCCCACCTCCTCCTCCACCCATGCCTGGACTAGGCTCCGCCCCTCCTCCTCCTCCTCCTCCTCCTCCCCCCGGGGCTCCAGGTATGAGTCCCCCCCTCCTCCACCACCACCTCCGCCTCCTCCTGGAGCTCCCCCTCCTCCCCCTTCCTCCTCCTCCTCCTCCTCCCAGGCTCCAGACCTGGCCTTTGCCAAGAAGAGGAAGACGGTCAAGTTGTTCTGGAAGGAACTCAAACAGTCAGACAGTCCCAGGAAGTGTAAATTCGGACGCGGGACAGTGTGGGCGTCGCTGGATAAGGTTACCGTGGATACGGCCAAGTTGGAACACCTGTTTGAGTCCAAGGCCAAGGAGCTGCCCGTGGCTCTAAAGGTGAGGCGTTACATCAACTCAGAAATCAAAAGATCAGATTTCCACGTGTTTTTTGTTGCTGTTTACGGCATTAAGGAAAATATCAGATATGCCAAATAATTTGCCTAAAGAATCTAAATTGGACTGCCTGTGTAAACTATAGGTCTAAAACTGTCTCCAGTACTGTAAAGCAGGAATGAAGTCAAAGCAAATACTAACTGTAATCTCTGTTGGTTAATTGTAAACCTTTCTGTGTTGTTTGTCCGTGCAGAAAGGGGCAGAAGTGAAGAAGGCGGAGATACTGGTGTTAGATTCTAAGAGAAGTAACGCCATTAACATCGGCATGACTGTGCTGCCAGCTGTCCACATCATCAAGACCGCCATCCTCAACTTTGACGAGTTTGCCATCAACAAGGAGGGCATAGAGGTAATACCGCCTTTCTACCACTAGATGGTGCTGTTACACCAGGGTCAGTGTACTCAGACATAGAACGTCAGTGACCTATGAAGTGTTATGGAGGAGAACTACATTATTCCTCTAGTGTAGTTTTAATTCATGTTTACTGTCAACGACTACATGTGTACCTGAAAATCTCTGTCAACAAACCACCTTTTTAAATAACAAAAACATACATCAATGTCTACCACTCACACTTTCCTTTTTTAAAATTTTTTAGTCATTTAGCAGACGCTCTTATCCAGAGCGACTTACAGGAGCAATTAGAATTAAGTGCCTTGCTCAAGGGGCACATCGACAGATTTTTCACCTAGTCGGCTCGGGGATTAGAACCAGCGACCTTTCGGTTACTGGCACAACGCTCTTTAACCACTAAGCTACCTGCCGCCCCCAGTCAGTCCTCTGATTTCCTTTCTCTGTGGTCCAAATCCATGCCTCTCCTCCTCTAACCCCAGTCGTCTGTTCTCTCGTAGAAAATCCTGACGATGACTCCTAGTGAGGAAGAGAAGCAGAAGATCCAGGAGGCTCAGCTGGCCAACCCAGACGTCCCCCTGGGCTCGGCGGAACAGTTCCTCCTCACCCTGTCGTCCATCAGCGGCCTCACCGCTCGACTACAGCTCTGGGCCTTCAAACTCAACTATGAAACCCTGGAGAAGGTAGGATCGGGGGGTCCCGTACCCCTAAAGCATCTAGTCTGTCCTGCTCTCGTTATGTCCTCGTGCTTCCTGCAGAAAAACACGTCTGGGCCCAGGCGAGTGGTCTGCTTAAGTCTCTACGCAGCTGGACGTCATCTTAAAGCTCTTCCAGTCATCTGTCGTCATGTGCTGTAGGAACCGTGGGGATCCAAAGCCTCACCAGCAGAGCAGCGCTGGTCGGTGTTGTCAGACGGGCAGCTCAACAACAGCAGAATATTCCCCTCATGGTTATGAGATGGGGAGGGAGAATATCAACAGCCTCCTGGTTATGGATGGGATGGGGAGGGAGAATATCAACAGCCTCATGGTTATGAGATGAGATGGGGAGGGAGAATATCAACAGTTTGTCCAGGATAGGCAGATTCCGTTCTCTCTGTATTTCTGTTATCACCTCTGAATCTCTGTCAATTACACATCGTTGGTATCTCTGTCTATAGCAAGCACCCCACACACACACACACGCACACACGCACACATATACACACACGCACACACACACACGCACACGCACACGCACACACACTCTGCTCACAGTCTCTGCAGCACTAGTGTAGTGGACTGTGAATCCTCACTGACTGCCTAGCCTGTTTTAGCCTGTTTTAGCCTGTTTTAGCCTGTGTTAGCCTGTGTTAGCCTGTTTTAGCCTGTGTTAGCCTGTGTTAGCCTGTGTTAGCCTGTTTTAGCCTGTTTTAGCCTGTTTAAGCCTGTGTTAGCCTGTGTTAGCCTGTGTTAGCCTGTGTTAGCCTGTTTTAGCCTGTTTTAGCCTGTGTTAGCCTGTTTTAGCCTGTGTTAGCCTGTGTTAGCCTGTGTTAGCCTGTTTTAGCCTGTTTTAGCCTGTTTTAGCCTGTTTGATGCAGTTTGTTTTCCCTAAAGGTTCTTCATCTCTTCTCTTGGTCCCTGTGCAGGAGATAGCAGAGCCTCTTTTCGACCTAAAACTAGGTATGGAGCAGCTCGCCAAAAACAAAACCTTTAAGCGCATCCTAGCAACGCTTTTGGCCATTGGAAACTTCCTCAACAGCACCAGTGTAAGTGTGTTCTTCCTGGCTGTGTCCCAAACGGCACCCTATCCCCTATATAGTGCACTACTTTGGACCAGGGCCCAGGCCTATATAGGGCATAAGGTTCCATTTGGGATGCAGCCACTGTATCGGTCAACAACGTAAAAAGCTCACCTCAAGCGATTTGTTGTTGTTCATTTTTTTTGTGTGGAATTTAATAAAGTAATCATTTAATACGGTTGAAATGTTTCCAAATGAGATGCGCTGAAATGAAAGCAACTTCTGAGAATGAACACTCCGATTATAGTGATATTATGTCTGATCTCACAAACAATGTAAAGCATGTTTAGATAGGTGGAATCTAGAGCCAAGCGTGGAGATGTTTTATCCGAGGGTATCCTGCTAGTGACACGCTTGTTGAATTATGCAAGAGAACGTGACACCAACAGTAATTAATGAGGCAGTCTAGACAGCGCAGGTGAGCGCAGGTGGGGTAGACAGAGCACGTGTTTGGTAGTTTGCAGCACTGTTCCACCACTTTATGTTAATGGTTTTTTAAATATATGCAAATCAAATACACCAGGTGTATTTATGCAAATGAGGCACAAATAATGTTCTTTATTTCAACACAAAATATAGACAAATATACCTGATACAGTAAGGAAATGTATATATGAGTGCATTCAAAAAAATCATAATTATATTTGACAATAAATTCAATACCTCAATTCCCACCAAAACCCCTCAACTCCATTCAGTATTTGTCTGTGGCAGTAAAATGTTTTATGTGCTATAATTCAGTCAATATCTGTTTGGATTATCAACGTTCTAAAAGTTTTGGAGAATCTTCATCCAACTGTTGCATTTATTAGAATTGTTTTTCTAAACTTTTAACAATTTCAATGACTGCTGCTAAAGGGATTAGAGAGATTGAACCACAGCAAAAGCTAACACACAAACAACATGCGAAAGCTTAAATGCATGCCTGGTACAAACCACCTGCCTTAGGGCTTTACGATGACCTGTAGGAGTTAGTTAAGCTGATTAGAAGATGTTTATCCTGAAGCGGGAAGGAGGAAATGGTTCAGGAGGGTATGTTTACTGTTTATTGTTAGATAGAGAGTGATCGCTGTAGATTTGAGTCTAATAGTTTACCGCTGACTGTCTTATCTCCTGTCTGTTGGTGCTATATCTTCTGATATTTTATGAATATGTATCTATATGTGATTTATGAAAAAGATATAATAAATAGGGAAAAAGAAAGTAAGCTCAGGTGAAAAAAAACAAAGAGCAGAGCTAGGAGCAGCGGGGAAAATCCACAAAAGACGGCGTAGGGACAAAAGAAAAGCTAGAAAGACACGGGGACAACCCCCCGAAAGACGCAGGCGACAGAATCCATCTGTTGTCGAAGAAACACCCCCAGATATCCGGAATGAAACCGTCATCTATACACGCACTATCCAGATATCCCTCAAACACTTCCGCTCACTGAACCAAGCATTGCCGGACCAACTTCCCCCTCATCTCTATCCTCTCGTCCCCCCTCCTCTTCCTCTTCGCTGTCCGTCTCCTCTCCCTCTCTCCTCTCTGCTCAGTGTCACTGTGTACCCAGCGCAAACTCTCACTCCCTCACTCTTTCTTCTCCCCGCCTCCCCCTCTTCTCCTCTCTCCTGTATCTTACCTTTCCGTTCCTTTCTCTCTCGTCCCCCCCATGATTAGTTTCTATTTAGCTTTGTCTTTTGAGCTAAAGGTTGACTAACTTTTGGAGAATGGTGACTGAGGTGAAGGTACGGTCCACAGACAGTTCTGCTCCAAACTACACCTGTAACTATTTGTAGACAACTACAAGACACCCAGGACGTCTATCTGAGACCCCGCCATCACACGCTCTTAAAGAAAAAAATCCCATAGGTCCCTGTATCTGGGGGAAAAAACCCGTCACAAATAGGGGGCACCATAAAAATGAAAATTCTCTGCCCCCGCCCACCCTGATTTTTTAAATATATTTTTTATTTTAGTTTAATTAAAAAAAGGCTTATTGGGTAATTTTTGGAAAAAAGCCTTAACCTATTTTTGGTTTTTGGGAAAAAATTTTTTTAGAAAAGTCTAAAAACCCACAAAGGATCTTTTTTTCTAAATCCCCCATGGGGGTTTTTTAAAAGAACCCAATGGACGCTATCAAATGATACCCCCCCCAAAGGATTTGTTCTATCATAATGTACCCACAATGGATCGTTTTTGCATAATATAACCCCCAAGGAAACTGTTGTTTTTGTTAAAAAGGGAAAATCGTTTTTCTTTTTCAAAAAACAAAAAAAACCCCAAAAAAAAAAAAAAAGGGGGGGGGTCTGGGGGGGAGAAAATGGGGGGGGGCCCAAAAAAAGGACTCTATTTTTCCCCAAAAAAAGTTTTTTTTCTTTTTCCCCCCTTTTTCCCTTTCTTTTTTTCCCCTTTTTCTTTTTTTAAAACCCTTCTCCCTTCCCCTTTTTTCTTTTCTGCTTCTTTTTCTTCTTTTTCTGTTTCTGTCTCTGTCTTTTTTTGTTTTTTTCCTTCTTCTTCTGTCTTTTTCTTTTTCTGTCCTCTCTCCCGTTTCCCTCTGTCCCTTTTTTCTGTCTTTCTCTTTTGGTTTGGGGGTTTGTCTCTGTCTCGTCTCTCTCTTTTTCTCTTTTCTTCTCTTCTCTTTCCCCTTTTCTTCTCTCTTGTTTTTCTACCACTCCCTCTCCCCCCCCCCCCCTCTCTCTCTCAAGGTGGGTTTTGAGAGCTTCTTTCCCTGGGTTTCCCTTTCGCTTTTTGGGCTTGGGGTTTTTTTCACCGGGCCAAAATCTCCAAAACCCTCAGTTCCTTGCTTCTGTTTCCCCCTTCTCCTGGGGGTTCCCGCATCTCCGTTTTCCCCCCCGCGGGACGGCCCCCCGGCGACCCCCGACCCCGCCCACAACCCCGGGGAAGGGCCCGGCGCGCCCGGCATTTTGCCCGGAAAGAGGCGGCGCCGCGCCGCGCGCGCGCGCGCGCGGCCCCAAACCGCCGCCGGGGGACAAACCAACCAAAACCCCCCCCCGGCCCGCCCCGAACCCGGCCCCGCCGCGCTTTTCCCTTTTCCCCATCTCTCTCTCTCTCTTTTTCTCTTTTCTCTCTCGGGCTTCTCTTCTTGTTCTGTTTTTTGTCTTTTCTTCTTTTTCCTTGCTTCTTTTTCTCTTCTCCCTCTCTTCTTTTTCTCTCCCCTTTCCCTTCTTTTTCTCTCTCTCTCTGTGTCTCTGTCTCTCTCTCTCTCTGTCTCTCTCAGGTTCCATTCCTTCCTGCTGTACCTAGGTCAGCCATCCTACTCTGTTCGGGACACTAAGGTGACCCACTTTTGTATGATTATCAGTGAGTTTTCTCTGGAGTACCGGACCACCAGGGAGAGGGTCCTGACCCAGAAACACAAGCGGGCCACCCACAGGGAACGCACCAAGACCAGGGGAAAGATGATCACTGAGGTGGGTCTGGGGCTAGGGGCTAGGCTAGGTCTGGGGCTAGGGCTAGGTAGGGCTAGGTCTGGGGCTAGGGCTAGGCTAGGTCTGGGACTAGGGTATAGGGCTAGGTCTGGGGACTAGGGTATAGGGCTAGGTCTGGGTGTAGGGCTAGGTCTGGGGCTAGGGTATAGGCTAGGTCTGGGTGTAGGGTGGGCTAGGTCTGGGTGTAGGGCTAGGTCTGGGGACTAGGGTTTTAGGGCTAGGTCTGGGCTAGGGTGTAGGGCTAGGTCTGGGTGGTTAGGGCTAGGTCTGGGGCTAGGGTGTAGGGCTAGGCTAGGTCTGGGTTATAGGCTAGGTCTGGGGCTAGGGTATAGAGCTAGGTCTGGGTGTAGGGCTAGGTCTGGGGCTAGGGTATAGAGCTAGGTCTGGGTAGGGTATAGGGCTAGGTCTGGGGCTAGGGTGTAGGGCTAGGTCTGGGACTAGGGTGTAGGGCTAGGTCTGGGACTAGGATGTAGGGCTAGGTCTGGGGCTAGGGTATAGGGCTAGGTCTGGGCTAGGGTATAGGTCTAGGTCTGGGGCTAGGGTATAGAGCTAGGTCTGGGGGTAGGGCTAGGTCTTGGGGTAGGGATAGGAGATAGGTCTAGGTGGGGTAGGGTATAGAGCTAGGTCTGGGTGTAGGGCTAGGTCTGGGGCTAGGGTATAGAGCTAGGGTTGGTGGTATGGGCTGAGGTGGGGTTATGGGTAGGGTAGGGCTGGGTGTGGGGCTGGGGATAGGGCTGAGGGCTGGGTGTGAGGGCTGGGGATAGGGCTGAGGGCTAGGTGGGGTGGATAGGGCTGAGGCTGGGGGTGAGGGGACTAGGGATAGGGCTAGGCTGTGTAGTTGCTAGGTTGGGTGGTAGGGCTAGGTTGGTAGGCTGGATAGGGCTGAGGGCTGGGGTGTTAGGTCTGGGGATAGGCGATGAGTGGGGGTGGGCTGGGGAGGTAGGGTGGTGTGGGGCTGGGGGTAGGGCTGAGGGGGGGTGTGGGGACTGGTAGGCGAAGGTTGGTAGGTTGGCGGATGGGTCATAGGGCAGGGGTGTAGGTCTGGGGATAGGGCTGAGGGCTGGGGTTGTAGGTCTGGGGATAGGGCTGAGGGTGGGGTTGGGGCTGGGGATAGGGCTGAGGGCTGGGTTGTGTGGGTGGGGATAGGGCTGAGGCTAGGGGTGGGGCTGGGGATAGGGCGAGGGTGGGGGGGTGGTGGGGCTGGGGATAGGGTAGGTCTGGGGTGGTATAGGCTAGGTCAGTGGGGATAGGCTGAGGGCTGGGGTTGTGGGCTGGGATAGGGCTGAGGGCTGGGGTGGGGGCTGGGGATAGGGCTGAGGGCTGGGGATGTGGCTGGGATAGGGCTGAGGGCGGGGTGTAGGGTCTGGGGATAGGTGAGGCTGGGTGGGGCTGGTAGGTGGGGTGGGGGTGGCGGGTAGGGCTGAGGGTGGGGTGTGGGGCTGGGGATAGGGCTGAGGGCAGGGTGTGGGCTGGGGATAGGGCTGAGGGCTGGGGTGTAGGTCTGGGGATAGAGCTGAGGGCTGGGTGTGGGGCTGGGGATAGGCTGAGGGCTGGGGGTGTAGGTCTGGGATAGAGCTGAGGGTGGGGGTGTGGGCTGGGGATAGGCTGAGGGCTGGGGTGTGGGGCTGGGGATAGGGCTGAGGGCTGGGGTGTGGGGCTGGGGATAGGGCTGAGGGCTGGGGTGTGGGGCTGGGGATAGGGCTGAGGGCTGGGGTGTGGGGGCTGGGGATAGGGATGGGGTGTGGGGCTGGGGATGGGCTGAGGGCTGGGGTGGGGCTGGGGATGGGCTGAGGGCTGGGTGGGGTGGTCTGAAGAACCAGGGTGGCTAGACTGATAACACTGCCTCCTTAGAGTTAGGTGCTTACACACCTAGCTGTATTAAATGCGTTCCAAATGATCTGTGCAGTGGTGCAATCTTAAACCAGGTGTCTGGAATCCATGGTCCTCTATTAACACCAGGTAGACTGGAATCCATGCTCCCTCTATCTTTAACACCAGTGTCTAGACTGAATCCATGCTCCCTCATATCTTTAACACCAGTGTCTAGACTGAATCCATGCTCCCTCTATCTTTAACACCAGTGTCTAGACTGAAATCATGTCCTCTCTATCTTAACACCAGTGTCTAGACTGAATCCATGCTCCCTCTATCTTTAACACCAGTGTCTAGACTGAATCCATGCTCCCTCTCTATCTTTAACACCAGTGTCTAGACTGAATCCATGCTCCCTCTCTATCTTTAACACCAGTGTCTAGACTGAATCCATGCTCCCTCTGTCTTTAACACCAGTGTCTAGACTGAATCCGTGCTCCCTCTGTCTTTAACACCAGTGTCTAGACTGAATCCATGCTCCCTCTCTATCTTACACCAGTGTCTGAATCCATGCTCCCTCTATCTTTAACACCAGTGTCTAGACTGAATCCATGCTCCCTCTCTATCTTTAACACCAGTGTCTAGACTGAATCCATGCTCCCTCTCTATCTTTAACACCAGTGTCTGAATCCGTGCTCCCTCTCTATCTTTAACACCAGTGTCTAGACTGAATCCATGCTCCCTCTATCTTTAACACCAGTGTCTAGACTGAATCCATGCTCCCTCGATCTTCCATTCTCTCTCTTTCTCTCTCTCACTCTCACTCTCTCTTTCCCTTTCCCTCTCTCTCTCCCCCCCCCCCCCTCTCAGACGGAGAAGTTCTCTGGGGCGGTCTCTCCCCAGTCCCAGGACAGCCCCTCCCCTGTCTCCAGGCCTGCAGATTCAGAGCCAGCCCAGGAGGAGCACGAGAACATGAAGAACATGCTCATCACCTCCAGCAGTACCGACCACCAGGGCAACCTGCGCCGCAACCGGGGATACCGCAGTAAGAGAAGGGCACACACACACACCCCCAGCAGGACCTCTGTCTGCTAACATGGTGCTAACCCTGGAATGGGGTTGGTCTTTTCAAGCATAATGAAAAACAATAAATCCATGCAACCCAGGGGTGGTTCTATATGTAACACTACATATGGAATATGCACAGTAGGAAAGGCTCCGACTGGAACACAAAAAGGGGACTGTGTTGTCTGACGTTTCTGAAAGGGTCATGACATGGTTGTTATTGTTAGCGTTAACACGTGGTCTGTGATGTACATTTACAATTTAGTCATTTAGCAAATTGGGGTTAAGTGCCTTGCTCAAGGGCACATTGACAGATTTTTTTCTCACATAGTCAGTTTGGGGATTCGAACCAGCGACCTACCTATGGGTTACTGGCCCAACGCTCTTAACCACTAGGCTACCTGTCGCCCCATAAAGCAATAGCCTCCTCTACATGCACCTGGCTGAATTCTGTTAGGTCTGTTAGGTTGTTAGGCTCTGTGTTGTTGGCTTGGCTCAGGGTGGGAATAATCATTGGCTGCGTCCCAATGACACCTTATACCCTATGTAGTGCACTACCAGGACCCATAGGGGATAGTGAGCCATTTGACCAGGGCCCATAGGGGATAGTGAGCCATTTGACCAGGGCCCATAGGGGATAGTGAGCCATTTGACCAGGGCCCATTGGGGATAGTGAGCCATTTGACCAGGGCCCATTGGGGATAGTGAGCCATTTGACCAGGGCCCATAGGGGATAGTGCACTACCAGGACCCACAGGGGATAGTGAGCCATTTGACCAGGGCCCATAGGGGATAGTGAGCCATTTGACCAGGACCCATTGGGGATAGTGAGCCATTTGACCAGGGCCCATTGGGGATAGTGAGCCATTTGACCAGGGCCCATGGGGATAGTGAGCCATTTGACCAGGGACCCATAGGGGATAGGGTGTCATTTGGGATGTAGCTGTGACCTGACTTCTGATCAATGAGGATTTCATTATCTTCTAATGCTGCTTCTCTTTACCCAGTGGATTAAACACAAATACCAATTTCCTTTTTCGCTTGCCTGGGTTAATGTGGACCAATTAGCTTTGTCTCAGTAGGCGCAAATCTAGGATCAGTTTATCTTCTCCAAACCATAACCTTAACCAATAGGGAGAGGAGGATGTCAACCTGACCTTAACCAATAGGGAGAGGAGGATGTCAACCTGACCTTAACCAATAGGGAGAGGAGGATGTCAACCTGACCTTAACCAATAGGGAGAGGAGGATGTCAACCTGACCTTAACCAATAGGGAGAGGAGGATGTCAACCTGACCTTAACCAATAGGGAGAGGAGGATGTCAACCTGACCTTAGATCAGTGACTAGGGAGAATGAAATTAACATTTACATAACATTTTATGCTTCCTCCTCTGAGCTTCCCTAGGTCTGGGGCAGGAGGTAGTATTTCAGGTTTTTTTCTAATCTAATGCCTTCCTTCCTCCTTGAGCTTCCCTAGGTCTGGGGCAGGAGGTTAGTTATTTCTAATGCTCTCCCTCCTGAGCTTCCTTAGGTACTGGGCAGAGTTAGTTAGTTATATTATATTCTAATGCTTCCTTCCTTCGAGCTTCCCTAGGGTCTCGGCAGAGGTTAGTTCTATTATATTTCTAATGCTTCCTCCTTCTGGAGCTTCCCCTAGGTATGGCCGCAGAGTTAAGTTATATCTATATAAGTATAATGATTCCTCCCTCTGAGCTTCCCTAGGGTCTGGGCCGAGTAGTTTATATTCTAATCTTAATGCTTCCCTCCTCTGAGCTTCCCTAGGTCGATGGGCAAGAGTAGTTACATATTCTAATGCTTCCTCCTCTGAGCTTCCTTAGGTCTGGGCAGAGTTAGTTATATTATATTCTAATGCTTCCTCCTCTGAGCTTCCCTAGGTCTCGGCAGAGTTAGTTCTATTATATTCTAATGCTTCCTCCTCTGAGCTTCCCTAGGTTTGGGCAGAGTTAGTTATATTCTATTATAATGCTTCCTCCTCTGAGCTTCCCTAGGTCTGGGCAGAGTTAGTTATATTCTAATCTAATGCTTCCTCCTCTGAGCTTCCCTAGGTCTGGGCAGAGTTAGTTCTATTCTAATGCTTCCTCCTCTGAGCTTCCATAGGTCTGGGCAGAGTTAGTTCTATTCTATTCTAATGCTTCCTCCTCTGAGCTTCCCTAGGTCTGGGCAGAGTTAGTTCTATTCTATTCTAATGCTTCCTCCTCTGAGCTTCCTAGGTCTGGGCAGAGTTAGTTCTATTCTAATGCTTCCTCCTCTGAGCTTCCCTAGGTCTGGGCAGAGTTAGTTATATTCTAATGCTTCCTCCTCTGAGCTTCCCTAGGTCTGGGCAGATTAGTTCTATTCTAATGCTTTCCTCCTCTGAGCTTCCCTAGGTCTGGGCAGAGTTAGTTATATTCTAATGCTTCCTCCTCTGAGCTTCCCTAGGTCTGGGCAGAGTTAGTTATATTCTAATGCTTCCTCCTCTGAGCTTCCCTAGGTCTGGGCAGAGTTAGTTATATTCTAATGCTTCCTCCTCTGAGCTTCCCTAGGTCTGGGCAGAGTTAGTTCTATTCTAATGCTTCCTCCTCTGAGCTTCCCTAGGTCTGGGAAGAGTTAGTTCTATTCTATTCTAATGCTTCCTCCTCTGAGCTTCCCTAGGTCTGGGCAGAGTTAGTAATATTATATTCTAATGCTTCCTCCTCTGAGCTTCCCTAGGTCTGGGCAGAGTTAGTTCTATTCTATTCTAATGCTTCCTCCTCTGAGCTTCCCTAGGTCTGGGAAGAGTTAGTTCTATTTATTCTAATGTTCCTCCTTGAGCTTCCTAGGTCTGGGCAGAGTTAGTAATATTATATTCTAATGCTTCCTCCTCTGAGCTTCCCTAGGTCTGGGCCAGAGTTAGTCTATTCTATTCTAATGCTCCTCCTCTGAGCTTCCCTAGGTCTGGGCAGAGTTAGTTCTATTCTAATGCCAAGATTGTACAAAGCTGTCATCAAGGCAAAGTGTGGCTATTTTAAGAATCTCAAATATAAAATATATTTTGATTTGTTTAACACTTTGTTGGTTACTACATGATTCCATATGTGTTATTTCATAGTTTTGATTGTCTTCACTATATTTACAATGTAGAAAATATTAAAAATAAAGAAAAACCCTTGAATGAGTAGGTGTGTCCAAACTTTTGACTGGTACTGTACATTTATACTCTGGACACCGACATTGTCCTAGTATTTATATCTTTATTAATTCCTTTACCTTTTAGATTTGTGTGTATTGTTGTGTATTGTTAGATATTACTGCCTTGTTGGAGCTGAGGAACACAAGCATTCCACTACACCCACAATACCATCTGCTAAATAATCAAATGTTATTGGATTTTGATTCCTCCTCTTCCTCCTCTTCTTCCCCAGGTCTAGGCAGAGTCAGTGATTCCTCCTCTTCCTTTCTACAAGGAAATAAATCAAAAGGGCTGTAGAAAGAGAAGTGCCCTCCAAAGACGCTACGAAATCGGACCTAAATCTGTTACAGAAAAACAGAACCCCTCCACCCCAGCCGCCGCTTCAGGTTCACAGAAGTATGTGATAACAACAAGAAACCCCGCAATAATTTAACTAAATAACAATCTTATCTGTTTCTTTTGCGTGTTATTTCCCAAGTGATCCCCTCTAAATGTAGAGAGGCTGCTGTACTGCCATTCCATACAGCTCACCCTTGGTCACTAGCCTTGATCCCATTGGAGGTGTGCAGGCTTTTGTTCCAGCACGCTTAAGCACCTAATTCAACTAATCAAGGTCTTCAATATGGTCTATTCCAGTTACGGAGGTTGGCCGGAACAAAAAGCCTCCACTCTGTAGTCCTGCTAGACAAGGCTGGGGGACATGCTTCCATCCACTTGAGTCCTGCTAGACAAGGCTTGGTGGCTTGCCTTCATCCCTCTGTAGCCCTGTAGACAAGGTTTGGTGGCTACTCCCTTCCCATCCCTTTTAGTCTGCTAGACAAGGCTTGGTGCTACTGCCTTCCTCCACTCTGAGTCCTGCTAGACAAGGTTTGGGTTTACTACTGCCTTCCACCCACTCTGTAGTCCTGCTGGACAAGGTGGTGGACTATGCCTCATCCACTCTGTAGTCCTGCTGACAAGGTTTGGGACTACTGCCTTCCATCCACTCTGTAGTCCTGCTAGACAAGGCTTGGTGACTAATGCCTTCCATCCACTCTGTAGTCCTGCTAGACAAGGCTTGGTGATTACTGCCTCCATCCATCTGTAGTCCTGCTAGAAAGGTTGGTGAACTGCCTTCCATCCACTCTGTAGTCCTGCTAGCAAGGCTTGGTGATACTGCCTTATCCACTCTGTAGTCCTGCTAGACAAGGCTTGGTGACTATGCCTTCCATCCACTTGTAGTCCTGTTTGACAAGGCTTGGTGACTATGCCTTCCATCCACTCTGTAGTCCTGCTAGACAAGCTTGGTGACTCACTGCCTTCCATCCCACTTGTAGTCCTGCTGGACAAGGCTTGGGTGACTACTGCCTTCCATCACTCTGTAGTTCTGCTAGACAAGGCTGGTGACTCTGCCTTCCATCCACTCTGTAGTCCTGCTAGACAAGGCTTGGTGGACTATGCCTTCCATCCACTCTGTAGTCCGCTAGACAAGGTTTGGTGACTACTGCCTTCCATCCACTCTGTAGTCTGCTAGACAAGGCTTGGTGACTACTGCCTTCCATCCACTCTGTAGTTCTGCTAGACAGGCTTGGTGACTACGCCTTCCATCCATCTGTAGTCCTGTAGACAAGGCTTGGTGGACTACTGCCTTCCATCCACTCTGTAGTCCTGCTAGACAAGGCTTGGTGACTACTGCCTTCCATCCACTCTGTAGTCCTGCTAGACAAGGCTGGTGCTCCTGCCTTTCCATCCACTCTGTAGTCCTGCTAGACAAGGCTTGGGTGACTACTGCCTTCATCCACTCTGTAGTCCTGCTAGACAAGGCTTGG